AATATATTCTAATTGAATTTGAATCTAATGTTCATAAGTTTATAGATATATAAAAATTGTATATTTTAAATGTCTAATTTTCTTTCATAAATATATAAATCATCTCTAATAATTTCACTTTAACATGTTGATATTTTATAATAGTTATATTAGTTTAAATTCTAAGGAATGATTATCTTACTTTAATTTAATAAATAATTATAAATAGTTTTAAAAATATAATATTATGGTAAAAGTATTATTTTGATAAAATAGATTAGTTGGTTATGGTTAATAATTTTTCATTATAGTTTTACTTGGATAATAAATATAAGAAGTATTTTTTTATACTTTTTCAATGATATAGAGTTATTTAATATTTTGAAAAACGTTTATTAATATATTATATGTTTGTATTGATATATTTGTTAGTAATGGTAAGATGCATATAGCTCCCTTTAAAAGGTGATTACGATTAGATTGAGGCACTTGAAATAATGTCTGAAGATACAATGTCAGAATAGTAATTAAAGAAGGCTCAAACAAACTAGGTGTTCTTTTTAGAAATAGCAGATTACTTAGAAGGAACATCATTTTATAATTTATTGGGTATTTGTTTAAGTGAATTAGATCTTTAAAATAAGGATAATTAATCAAAGAGAATAATAGTAGCCACTGTGCTATCCATACTATTAATTGTCATATTTTGCGTAGTGATCCAACTTATATTGGATTCGTCAAAAAAATGTAAGATCAAGCTAAGCAGAGAGAGCACTCCAATACAAGCATGATAAATGAATGTGTTTGAATGTATTCATATATAATACTGAGTTACTGATTTTTCTATTTTTTCATTAATTTTATTATTAAAAATGTCATCGGAAGTTAAAAAGAAGGAAAGGTAAAACTTGCTTGTTTAAGTTGAAGATTTTTTGCATAAGCAATAGTTTAATGGTTAAATATTTTAAAAAAAGAATGAGATCGAAGAGGAAGTGGATGTTTTTTTAAATTTATTGGGAAATATTAATCCATCTGAAACTCCTTAGAACAAGGCTTAATTAAGTACAATTATTTCATAAGGATCATATGATTCAACTTTACCATCCTTTAGGGAAACAAAGCTTAAATATGTTGATTAATTTGTATAATAAATGCTGAAGTTTTTAAGAGATATAAAGAAAGAGATTTAAGGGAATGAATCAATTATTTAATAGTTGATAGATTAGATCTATTAATTTTATCTAAATTAGATGAACGATATTGATAAATTAATATAATATACTTATGATGTTGGGAACAGGAAACCTAATTTTGTTTAATTTAAAGATGAATTAGAATAAAAGGAATTAAAACCAACAATTTTAGAATAAGAACTGGAATCCTCACTTGTGCAAGCTCATCAATTAAATGTAATTATTAAGTTTATCAAGAGGATTAATTAAATAATTTGTTGAAGCAAAAGTCATCTGAAAATTATTATAAAGATAAATAGTGTAAGCAAGCATTGTAATCGATAGCTATGTTAGAGTCATAATTAAATTAATTTAAGGGTCAATTTTAGAAATTTAATCAAATGGTCAAAGTTATAAATGGTTAATTGAGTGATTGTGTAAATGGACCATCTTTAGATAACAATAAAACAAAAATTGGAAGTAATAATAAAACTGCTTATAAAACAATTAATTCTTATCGTACACATTTCACTAATACAACCCCAAACAAAAAAGGAAAACTAGAAGAGAATTATCGGTCAATATCACAGAATTCTTATAGATCAAGAAGAGAGGAAGTTGATAAAGTTTATAAATAGTTATTAAAAAATTATTTATGAATTGCAGATAATAGTTATGTGAATATATTAATGTTAAATTGTCAACCTTAATGTTTGTTAAAATAATCTTCGATATAGCATCGAATAGCATCAAAATCATTTAACATTACTTATCTAATTTATCTGAGTAATTTTAATTATTCTTTTCTTTCCTTCAATCTAACTCCATAATTTACCTTAAATTAAATCATAAATAAATACTTTAGCATCATCTGAACATTTAGATAGATCTAATAATTATTATTTCAAATTGGCTAATCTTTTTTCTTCATCTTTTTAATTTTATGACTCAGTTACAATCTAAGCATTAATAGAATCCTATTAATTTTGTAAGGTTGCAAGCTATATTATATAATCTTAACCATTGATTACTTATAAATTTATTGAATGCAATTCGTCATTAATTTAATTTTTCACTCTTGAATGAAGTTGCTCTCGATCATCTTCAGCATTATATTGAACTCTGCTAGTTTTATCGACTTAATCATAGAGTTATTAAAGAAGATTGACAATAGCATTCACTCTTTTGGTGTTAACAACAGCATCAGTTTATGTTGAAACACTCACGAATTCGTCTAAAATATTATCTTTAACTTTACTAATTATTTATAGAAAAGGTTAGTTGTTTTATAGTGTCTCCTTAGCTTCTCTTTATAATTGATTTATTTCTTCTAAAAAGTCTGTATTTTATTCATAATCTTGATTAAGATTAGATTATTGTTAAACAAGCACAGTAGTCTTGGGAATTAATTGCTTGATTAAATATTTTGCTCTTTTTAATAGACTGCAAACAGTAATGGAATCATCTCTTGCAATTTCAAAATGATCATGCTATTTTAGGATTGATTAATACTTCTTATTGTCTAATTTCATCTAGTTAAATTAACAATGATTAATATTCATTAACAATGTTTTCTTTTTCATCCATTAATACATCATACCTATTAGATTCATCTTAATATAATCTAATTTAGGCTCCAAGCGTGCTATAGTCATATTGAGATTTTGCAATTTATTCCTCAAGACTTAGTAATTATGAATAATCTATTTAAAAATAATTCGTTTTTCATACATTATTCAGAAGCATCTGATTAGAGTTCTAAATCATTTTATTAGTCTTCTGCAATTTGTTACTCAATTTTGTTCAATAAATGTTCAATTCTGTTGAATTATGCTTTTTGATCTGATATAAGAATGAATAATAAAAATACCTTAATCTCTTTAATATTCGGTTTGAATTGAATTTAATACATTTAAACCAAACTAATCCTATTATAATGTTTCTAAGAATGTTTAATCCTCAGGGGATATTTATTTGTTATCCTATTATGAATACACGACTAGAATAAATAATGCAATATAAAATTTCATTATCTGAATAATTATATAATATTTCCCATCGAAATGTATATCTAAATTAAAGAAAATAGATATTTTTATTAAAAATTTATAAGAATGGCCGAGAATATCATTCAATAAAAAACTGAAGGAGACGAGAGAGCTAGTGTGTATTTTGGATAAGAAATAGATGGAGATAGTATTTTTTATTTGTTATTTTAAGAAATAATCTATAAAAATGTAAGAAAAGCAAAAATTCCAAATACTGCAGATATTGCATACTGTGAGATAAGAATAACTGAATTGTAAGCCGAACTTGATGCTTAACGTGAATAGGTTTTCAAGTTAGAATAACAATAAGATTTATACGTAACATATGAATAGACAGTAAATATCACAATAATCATTCTATAGATCAATTAATTGTAAGAAAGAAATTAGATATTGAATGACGAAAATAAATAGTTGTCTCTATTATTGCGTTCAAGAACGAAAGATTTGGATGTAGCAAAATTTAAGATTCTTGAATATGAGTCACATTTAGAAAGATTAAGAGACGTAGAATAAGATTATAATAATACATATGATTAATTATAAGTGAGAGACAAAGAACTAAAAGAAGTAATATATTATTTACTAAGTAAAAGCTAACCGAAAAGTATGGATAATTAGAATTGAAGCATTCAGAATAGAAAGTACTAGAATTAGAGAATTTCGACCTTCGAAATAAAATAACCAATCTCTAGAATGATTTAAATGTATATAAAGATAGGAACATCAAATTAGAAGCAGAGAGAAAGAGACTTGCAGATCTATAATCTGAAGTCTCTACAACATCTAAGATTGAAGTCACAAAAAGTGAGGTCAACATTTCTTAAGTTGCTACAATATAGCCTGCATAAGATTATGCTAAATACAAGACACAATTATAAGAATAATCTGATTTATTGAACTAGATGAAAAACGCTATTCAAGAAAAAGATCATAGATTAGGTTTACTCAATCATGAACTTAATAAATTATAAGAAACATTATCAAATAAAAATGAATAAATATCTTAATTAGAATCATAATTAGATTAGTCTAATGCTAAATTTAAGGAATTGGAAGGATTGGCTCAATAATAAAAAACGAAACCAACTACTATTATTAAAACTGTTGAGAAAATAGTCAAAGTAACTCCAACTGATGCTGATGAAGAAAAAGTTAGATTGACAAATGAATTAGAGAGGGCCAACTTTGAAATAGAAAGATATAAATTTGAATTAGCTTAATTGTAATAAAAATTGGAAACTCAGGAAAAGATTATATCTGATGTAATATTTAATCAAAATATTTTTATAGTTATCTAGAGATGTCAGATAAATCATTTCATTAAATGAGGAAATTGAATTATTAAAGATAGACAAAGCTAATTTATTAAATGCTTTAAATCAAAAAGAATAGGATTAAGAATTTACATTGAATTTATTAAATTAAAAAACAATTGAACTTTAGAATCTAGATAAGATCAAGTTCAATTTAACATATGCTGAAGATCAAATATAAACTAAACAAAGAGAGATTATCTCTTTGAAAAGAAGAGTTGGTGATGTTGAAAATTCAAATAACTAATTAAAATAGTTATAGCCTGAATTAAGATAAGCAAAGAAACTAATTGAAGAATTAAGATCTGAGAATGATAATTTAGATTAGTAAATAAAACAACTTAAAGCAAATTTAATGGATGCAGAAGTTGTTATCAATTAATTAAAAAAATTAGAATAAAGAATCAAAGCACTATAAAATACCAATTCTTCTTTAAGACAAGAAATGACTTAAACACTTGCTGAATCTGAACAATGGAGATAGAAATACAATCAAGGTTGTTCTGAAATCACAAGATTATAGAGATTATTAGAAGTAAATTAATAAAGACAATAAATACTTAATGAATAAAATAAAAATTTCAAAAATGATTTTGAAGTGCCTGATATAAAAGTAGATCCACTTCCAATTCCTTAAAGATTAAGTAAATAAATTATTTAGGATGAATCATAAATTACAAAATTAAAGAATAATTTAGTAGCTGTTGAATTATAATTAGAATCTGTATATAGAAACAAAATACTAGAATAATAAACATATTAAAGTTAGATTGATGAAATTAATTCTAAATATTAACTTAAAAAAGGAGAGAGTGAGTCATGGAAATAAAAATACTTAAAGTCAGAATAAGAAAATGTTAAATTAATGAATATCAATGAAAAATACAATGTTCTATTATAAAGATATGAATCTTAAGATATTATAATTTAAAGTCTAAATGAAAAATTGAAATAATAAATTTAAGAATTGGAAAAGAGTAGAGCTGAAGTATTTAGTTTACATTTACAACTAAGTCAATTGGATGTATTAATAAAAGAAAGAGATCAATTTAAATAGAGAGCAGATTCTTATTATTAAGAAATATAAAATTAATATAAATAGATTCCACTTTTAAAAGCTTAAGTCTTAGATTTAACAAAATAATTGAAATTGGCAGAAATCCCAGTAATTCGTATTTCATAAAAAACTGATGCCATTGAAAAATTAAGACAATAAAATGTAGAATTAGAATAAAAGATTGATGATACAATGGAAGATTAAATTGATGAATTACAATAAACTAATAAAGTTCTTAGGTAAGAGTTGACTAAATAAATTGATATTAATACTTAATTAATTAAAGATTTATCTAATGCTGATAGAAAGAAACAAGACATACTTATAGAATTATAATTATTATAAGCTATTGAAATAGATTATTAATAATTAAAAATTGCATATTAAAACAAATAAAAAGAAAATGATAAAATCAAGATGTAAAGTGATTAAATTGAATTTAAATAAAGAGATTTAGAAAATGCTATACATTCTTCAAATCAATTAGGATTAGAATAAAAAAATGAAATCTAGAAATTGAGAGAGAGAACAAATAATTAAAATGAATAAGTAAACGAATTATTAATTAAACTTAATTCTTTATAATAGTTAAACAATGATTATAAATTTAAATTAGATATGTTCCCTGAATTGTAAGAGAAAGTGAATATATAAGCTAAATAAATTGATGATTTAACAAAAGCATTATAAAATTCTAATGAAATAAGAGATGAATTGACTGCTAAATGTACCTTATAATAGGTCAAACTTTAAAGTTTAGGTCCTCTCTAATCAAAGATTGAAAGTCTTTAATTGATATTAGATGAAAGATAAAGATAATTAGATTTATGGCAAACTAAAGCTTTAGAATTAGAGGATAGTAAGTCAAAACTTAATTAAGAATGGAGAAAGAAATTTGATGCTGTTGAAGTATAATTGAAAAATCAAAAAGAATTAGATTAATTATTAAAATAATAAGAACATGATATTAATGATTTAATTAGTTAGAATAATAAATTAAATGTCTAAAATAAAGAATTATCTATTGCAAATCAATTACTTAATAAAGATATTGATTAAAGAGATATAGAAATAAAGAGATTATCAGCAATTGAAACAGATTTTAGAAAATTAAATGAAAATTTATTAATTGAATTATAGAGAATTGCAGATCTTACAGATAAATTATAAATTGCATAAAATTAATATGATGCTGCAAAGAGAGATTAAGAAAGATTAGAAAATAAATGTGCTATGATGTCTAGTGAAATCGAGAGATTATCAATTATGGTTAAAAATAAAAATATTGAAATAGAAGGAAATAAAGCCATTTTACATTAAAATTAATCACAAATAGATTAAGTTTAACCAATATTTGTTGAAAATAAGAGATTATTTGATGAATTAAATAATGTATTAAAATCTAATGAAGAATTAAAAATCTAATCTATCTAATTATAAAAATAAATTGATGAATTAAAATCAACTATTAATAATGGTAGTAATTATGAAAATCAATTAAAAGATGATTTAGAATAATTAGAATAAGCATTTAGACATAAGGAAAATGAAATCGGTGAAATTAAATAATTGTTAAGATAAAGTGAGAATTAAGTTAAAGATATTAAAAGAGATGATTAATAATGGATAGATTAATAAGCAGAAAAAGAGAAATTAACAAATTAATTGAATTATATTAATGAATTATTGAATTCTAAAAATACTGAAAATGAATAATTAACTAAATAAAATCATGTTTTATAATCCAAATTATTGGATAATTAAAAATTAGATTTTGAACATTTAGAATTAGCATTGAATACTAGAGATAAAGTAATAGAAGAATGGAAAGGAAAATTCTAGAGATTATCTTAAGATCTATAGAAAATTATAGAAGACAAAGTAGAATTAGAAAATAGATTTAGTACAGTAGATTTGGAGATTGAAAGATGGAAAAGAAAAGCTAATTCAAATTCAGCTGAAATTGAAATGTTAAGAGTAACAATTGATTAATTGAATGATGAAATTGAGAGATTAAATAAAAATACATAAGATCTCCTAAATGTAAATATAATCTATAATATATTAGGAAAATGATTCATGGAGACATAAATATGGTAATTTATAATAATTGATACCTTAAATGGTACATCATTAACCAAATCCAGAAACATAAGCATATCAAGTTACTCCAGGAAACAGTTTCAGAATTCCAACAGGAAATGAAAGAAATTAAGGTAGTTTTAGAAATCAACCACCTCCTCTAGATTCTAGGAGATCTTTCAGAAGAGCTACAACCATTGGTCTAACAAAACCCTGATTAGTAATAATAAATAAAATAATATAATATAATTAATTAATAGACAATATTAAATGTAAATATATAAGAACAATAATATTAAAATAAAATATTTTTGCATATATTCATCAATCATCTGTAGCTATTCTAATTTAAAATATAGGATCTTTATCAAATTATTTTTTTTGCGTATATAGTGGCACTAATGCTTCAAGTTACATTCCTCCAATTGGCATTGATACTCCAATACCAAGAGATGATCTAAAATTTTATAATAATGATTTTGGATGACCAAAGGTTAATAATGAACCATACCAAAATAATTAATAAGATAGATTCTTTTCTTTCATTCCTTAAAGATTATGAATATTGTATTTCAAATCAAATTTAGCAAATGTATCATATTTTCTATTTTACAATTTGCTCATCTCAATCATTTAATTAAAACCTCTAAATTATAAGTTTTGAAATGTATCATTTAAATCTAAATGAGATTGACTAAAGGCAAGACCATAATTAAAAGATAATTAGATTGATGAATTGGCAACCAATTTTTTAATTTTTTTAATTCTATTTCTATGTTCATATAATGGAATCCATAATTAATGAGACATCCATACTTTGATAAATGGATTCATTGTTAATCTAGGTATTCCTAAACTACAATTAAATTTATTATTATGTCCTTCTAAAATACCTTAATCTTAGAATATTTATGATGAAAATGGTTTAGAATAAGTTATAATAGTGGATTAAGTTGGTAAAAAATCTAAATTATTAACATATTTTCTAAAAAGATACCTTCCTTATAAAGATTCTTCATCTTCAATTTTATTAAATCTATATTAATTTGAGATAGTTAATTAAGTAGTTGCATTATTATAAGCAAAACTAAATTCACTAAGATTTTCATCTATGTTTTAAATTTGTTATATTTATGCTTATCTATATGAAAATGAATAATTAGAATCTTTGTAATCTTTGTATGACCAACTCAAAGACCAATTTGATTTATTAGTACTTAGATTTTGATCATATTCAAAGGCTAATTAATCATGAATTCCAAAGAAATTTTTATTTCCAAACTTCATTTTTAATTAATATCCTTAAGTATCTATTTCATTAGATGCAGATAGAAAATAGGGTAATTTATCTTATATATCAAAATGAAGTATAATTCCATTAGGAAATTTTTTTTGAGATGGAAGTATAAGTAATCTAATTTGGGAATACAATTTAGTTCTTTCAAGAGCATCAATAAAGGAAGATGATATTGCCATAAAATTTTCTAAAGATAAGGATTTATCTTTGATTAGTTTTTTGTGTTCCATATAGTAATGATAAAACAATTTTCTTAAGTAATTTTATTGGGTTTTAGTTGATGAGAATGTGGTTCCAAAATAATTGAGTTTCATTTCTGATGCTGGTATTCCATGTTTTTATTAGAAATGATTTAGACAATCGATAATAGGTTCTTTGTCACCATCATTATTATATTCTTCTATAATCATAAATATATTTTTTAATTTGTTTAAATGACAACTATTCTTCCATTAGGTAATATTGATATTAAAGTTTAAGGATTATTGGACAAGGCAATTTCATCAAGAGTATGGATTCTAATGAAAGATGATAGAGAATTTGAAGGTACTTTACGTGGTTTTGATGATTTCTTTAGTATGGAAGTGAAGATTTATTAGATATGGTTTTGGAGAACGTGATTGAGTTAGATAATGGTAAAAAGAATAAATTGGAATAAATTTTGTTGAATGGTACTTAAATATGTTTGATTATTCCTGGAGGTGAAATAAGTTGAATAATATTTTTAATATGTTAATATTCATATTATTGTTTTAATATTGCAAATCTATAGACATTGATTGTTACAATGATTCATTGATTAATGTCGATGCTAATTATTAGATTTATAACTATAATATGAATTGTACACCACCAACAACATTAGAACTTAATTGTTTATCTACAGATTATTATGTAGAGTTAAATGTAGATTCTTCTATAATTTGGGATTTAATAAGTTTTACAACAAATTGTCATGGTTTAAAAATAAATACATCTTAAATACATATTGGTAATATAAATAGCAATTAAAAGAAAGCTGGATTTATTGAGAACAAATATATAATAATAGAAGCATCTTAAGACTTTTAATTTTATCCAAATACAACAATGAATATGAAGAATTATTTACTTGCATTCTTTCTTAATAGTACTCAAAATTCTACCATAATGGGATTGAATGTTACATCTAATAAGATTCTATTTGTATTTAATAATTCTGTGACATTTTAATCATCATCATTTTTGATGACTACTTCAACTTGTACTAATAATGTAAATATACTACCAGGAATGATAAGTATTTTCAATGTCAATTTTGAGTCTATTGAAGATTATTTATAGCAAAATTAATTTATCTACCTATCATAGCCTACTCGTTTTAGTACTTTCTTTCAAGTTTCTAATTACACTTTCTTTGTTTATACTAATACTTAGCTTTAATTAATTTCTACTACAGTGATTGGTAGCTAAATAGGAGTTTTAAATAATGGCACTATCATTTTATAAAATAGTAGTTTAAATACGTCATATTCTGGTTGTTATGTTAATTAGGGGTACTTTAATTAATTTATTTATTATATAGTAATGCAAGAGGTCCTGAGTTTATCAATTACAATTAAAAATGTTATGCAAATGGTGGGTCCAATTCTGGATATGGTGGTATTGGATTGAATTAAAGTAATTCATATTAAAGTGATTGTATATTCCTTACAAATTCAACTAGATTTATGTTTGATTTATATCCATATGGTTATTTACTAACAAATCTCTATTAAGGTTCTGGTGGAAGTACTGTTAACTTATTAGAAATAGTAAAAGAATTTGGAGATAATTTAGCTGAAAATTTATAATATGGATTTGGTGGTGGTTCTATATTTATGTATGCAAATTAATCAATCTCTATTACTTAATCACAACTGTTGGCAGATGGATCTCCAGGATATGTTAATAATACAACAAATTATAGTATTGGAGGAGGTTCAGGTGGATCTATCAAAATATATACAAGTTAAATAATTAGTGATGAATCCTCTCTAATTTCTATGTAGGGAGGAAATAGTGATCAAAATAGTTTAGTAGGTGAAGGTGGTGGAGGTATACTTTAATATAAGTGTTTGACGAGTCCTTTAGATATATATGAATCATAAAATTTAAGAGATTATTGTTCCTTCAGTAATTTTCAAGGATAAATCAAAAATGGTCCTGGTTAAAGAAATCCAAAACTTGGTGCAGGTTTACTTGGATAAAATGGGAATTTGGTTGAACCATTATGTCCTCCTGGTTATAGAGTCTCTAATTTTTCTTGTGTTTCATGTAATAATAAAAATAGTTCGAAAAGATAAAATTATACATTATGGTGGAGTTCATAATGTGTACCGTGTCCATATACATTTGTAAATAGTTTAATTTTTATCAATAGGGTAAATTTTCATCTGATAATGATAATACTTTTTGTAATTAAGCACCTGGTTGTTAAACTTCAGATTGTTGTATTGAAGATTTCAGTATACTTAAAAATACTGGAATTTAATTAGTAGTTTTTATGATGTTAATCATTATGGGTTATGGATTGAGAAGACAATATAAAAAGAAAGATTCTACAACTGAAAAAAACTTTAATTTTGAGAATGCAACTAAAGAAATTATAGCTGATAAAATAATTACTGAGAGTTTATAGGAAACAGATTAATTTGTTTTAGGAGATCTAATGTATCATGCACATAGGATACCTGTTATTGGTAATAATACTTTTCTTAATCCTTGGTTTTTGCATTCTGAACCACCAGTTGAGATTGATAAAGCAGTTAATAAAGAAGAGTATGAAAAATTTGCTAAGAACTTTAATGAACTTGCTTCTTGGAGTAAAACTAATTATATTATTTTAAATATTTTGGCAATATTATATTATCCATTATATTGGGGTTGGTAGACTAAAATAAAAAAGAATAAGTATAAATTATTATCTGCTTTATTAAATAAAAATGAAATACCAAAATTTTGGAAATAATCATCAGATCAAACTTATGGTAGATTTAAAATGACAAAAAGTGCAGATTACACTCTTTTATATATTGATATATTTAATTATAAGAATTGTGATCTAAAATACATTTATTTAACATGTCCTTTTATTATATATTTATCAGGTGAAGGTAATTATTTAAGACCTTTTTATTTATGTGAATCAGATTAATTTTTAGTCTCTCTTTTCTTTGCTGTAAATTAAACTACAAATTCTATATAAAATAGATAAAATATATTAACTAATTTAGTTTGTAAAGATGAAAGAGAAGAAAATTCAAAAGAAATTAGAAGATTTTTAAAGAAATTTAATAAAGTAGCTATGACTTTAGATTTTGGAGCATTAGATTAGAGTTTCATATCAAATTTTAAAAGATTATTTGATTTATTAGAGAAATGGAATAATTAATTCTTTAGTAATCATAATGTAAAATTGTAATTATTAGTTGCTCAATTTCCATTTGATTCTTAACATTAATCATCAACAATTACATTGATTGAAATGAAATAGGAATCTTCATTCAAAGAATTTATGAAAGAACTTCATAAAAATGTTATATTTCAAAAATTACAAGATGTCAAATTTGGTGTATTTATATTTAATACAGAATAAGATCCTGCTGAAGTTGATTAATAATTAAAAAATCAAAAACTCAGTTTTAATGATATTGAAGATTTTTCTATTCGTAATATAGAATATAATTATGATGATGAAAATTCTATTGATGTAGAATTGTTGAGAGAATAATTTCTATCTAAAAGTACTGAAAAAGATCATTTATAAATGGGACATACAAAACATTAATTCAAATAAATAACTAAAAAATAAAGTCAAAGACCTAATTCTTTTTCAAAAACTTATCATTTAATAATTAGAATTTTTGATTACATTAGATTTTAATCATTTTCTCATAAAAGAACATTTTTAGATAAGTATACACTTATTATTATGATTTGTATTTTAATCTTATTAGATAATGTAATTTTAAAATATAATATATTAGTTCTTATTACAAAGTATTTTAAGTTTAATTATTGAAAAGTATTCTCATATAAAATTATCTGGAGAAAGTAAAAATTAAGAAATTATGAGTTTGTAATTAATTTTATTCCCTTATCCATTTACAATAATACTATCTAATCTATTTGAATCAATATGGGTATTTAATTATATTATTTTTAGATACCAAGTTAATCTTATGGTATTCTTAAATTATATTTAATATTTAATGCTATGGCCACATTTTAGTATTTTGTGAGTTTACTTATATTTATAGGCCATAATCATAAATCATAAATATGCATTTAGGATGCCTTGACCTTTTTATCATTTTTAATAAAGATCACATTAAATCAATTAAGTGAGAGATTAATACCTATGAGTACTAAATTGAATTAATTGAGTAATGAAAAATAAATATGATTATTAATAATATAAAATATACTTGTATACGAAATGCAAATCACTTAAGATATGTTTAAATGGTTGAAATCATTAAATGTAATCTAGAATGGAATTCCAAAATAAAATGGTAGAATGGAATTAGATCCTGAAACTACATCAGCCTTTTACAACAGTTTCAAGATGTCAGAACTCTTAGATAAATTAACAGGTTCTTATAATTAACCAATAAAAACATAAACTAATCCTACAGCTAGATTATATAATTGGAATATAATCACAGAACGATTACATTAAATTAAAGTAGAATTGGATACTGAAATTAAGAAATTAATTATTGATGGTGATTTAGAGATGATTGTTGAAGTCTTAAAGGATATACAATCTAAATTCGTAAAAGAAAGTACTTCCAAAATTGAAAACCCTAAGAAAATATTCGATATAGAAACACTTAATTCTGCTAAATCAATAAGTTCTTGTGAAACTGTACTAGAATATGTAATTGTAGCTTTGAGTCAGAGTCTTATCTTAAAACCAAAATAATCATAATAATTACTTAATAATAATTTTAAATTACTAACACATGTTTTTATTAAAGGAGTCAAAGGATAGTATATTTAATTAATAACACTCCTATAAGAAATATATAATAATATGCCTAGATTAATTGAACTATTGAGGGATGAAGAACATCAAATTGGATTCTTTGTATCATTTCTTAAACTTTCCATATTCTCTAAAGATTAAGAAGTTGTACATTGGGGATTAAGATTACTTGGTAAATTAGCATATGATCTAGCATAATATGACTTACTATTTCATATGTATTAATGGTTATTAAGTATTTAATAGAATTCATCTCTTTAGGTTCTGGATTAAATAGTTTAATTATTACACTCTAAAGATAACCATAATTAGCTGAACCACTAGCAACTGCCTTATCTTAAATTGCATATTATGATTATAGTTAAGTATTTGGATAATAGAAGTATTTTGAGAATCCAAAATCATATATAGAATTTTATGGAGCTTTGATTCCTTATATAAATTGTGATGTATTTTAGAATACTATTGATTTAGCTTATCAATTACAATTTAGAATAATAAATATAGATAGCAATAAGATTAAGTGATAATCAAAGTACAAGAGATGAAAAGAATGTAGCCATATAATTTCTATGTAATGCATGGATTCATTATAATGTATTTATGGAATAAAATATGTAATATCAATAATCCATTTTGGCACTTCTTTAAAGAACTTCAAAAGATAATTCAACAATATTGAAAACATATTCTATAACATAGGCATTTAAATTATTGGATGGTCTAGCTTCAAAGAAAGTAGTTACAGCTGTATCAGTATATAAGAAATTGATTTCAATTTTAATTGAAAGTTAGAATAATGAATATATGGTAAGATAATTTACATATATAATTCAAAAATATCCTAGTATTCCAATAGAATTATTGATTGATGGTTTAATTAGGAATTAACATCCAAATATGTCTGATTGTGATATTTATTATGTATTGAGTGCACATCAGAATTTAAAAGTATAATCAGCAATAACAATGTTAGAATTATTAATTAGAATTTATAATAGTAGTGTTTTATTTTAAAGTGCATTATTTCCAACTATATAATAAATAATATAAAAATTCATAGAACTTTCAGAATTTTAAGAATATATGAATAGAATGACTTAAACATGTTTAAATTTATATGTTAATTCTGTAAGATCTAAAAAAACAACTAATACTCTAACAAATTATTAAGATGATTCTGTTTTAAATTCTCAAAGAAGAGCTTAAACTATTTAATTATTTAAATATATTATTTAATTGAGATGTTTTTAAATGAACAATATGATAAAACCATTATTAGTTGGAGCACATTTAGAACTTAGAAGTATTGAAAATAGAGACAATAAAGGAATTATTTAATTATTATAAATGTTAGGTGATCCTAATACTATTGTTGATGAATATGTTACTAAAGATTAATAAATGACATCTCAATTATTTCTCGAAAAGAAAATGTAATAAATGGAAGGTAGTTAATCATAAGCCTTAGAAGATTAATATTTATAGAAAAATAAGAAATTATTTGAAAAAGAAGAAGATCTAGTCAAATCTTTATTATTAGAAGAAAAGAATGAAACAAAGAATTTATAAATAACTAAAAAGAAGAAAAGAAATTATGACTTTGATGAATTTTAATGTGTTTATGAAGAAGGAGAATTAGCATATAAACCTTAAGATGTTGTTTTAATTGATTATTCATTTGAAGAAGATGTAGATAGAGAATCTATGAATATTGCAATTAAACATTTCTCTAAAACTTTCAGATATTTATTCAATAAATATGCATCTACTCCTTAAGAAGCTGCTAAAAATAGATTAAGAAGTTTAGATTAAAGCTAATTAGAATTAAGATCATCTGATATTGTTAAAATATTATAAGACTATGAGATATTTAATTTTAGTACATATGAAGAAATTATTAATCTTATTGCAACTGTTAATCATAAATTTAATTTATTTAGTTTAAGTTCTCAAATTAGATAATAACCATAAGATAATTAAACAGATAAATAATCATCTATTTCAGCTACTACTTCAAGAACAGTCAATTATAAATTAGATTTCGAAAATTTTAAAAAGTTTCTAATATAATTTGCTGTCATTATTTTTGGTAGACCTCCTAAAGATTTTAGAAAAATGCCATCAGGACATGTATTAGTTGAATTCTTTAAATATTTTTCATTTATTGCTAGAAGAAGGAATGACAATCATCTTATTTTTGATGATCCTGATGGTGTTACCACTGTAGCTGATAAAAGTACAATTTAAAAATGGAATGCTTAATTATTATAAAATCCAAATATAGAGGTACCTACTGAAACTAGATTAAAGAAGGTATAAATTGAAAGAGTATCTTCACATTATTAAATGAGAGATGTTATGAAAAATTTAAATAAATCTTATTTAACTTGTTTTGAAATTGTTAATGAACTTATCTAATCTAAATTTAAGTAATTTAATTGAAAATTTAATAATAGAACCAATATTGTTGAACCAACATTCAAAATCAATCTTATTTATGAAGTCAAACCTATTGCAGCCAAAGGAGTTCATTCAGATCTTAGAATAGACCCTTTGGTAGAGAAATAAGAACAATTAAAGAATTCTCTTTCTCTATTACCTATAGAAAAATAAGAGATTATGAATAGATCATTAGATTTATCTTAATTGTCTGAAGAGAAAATAATTAATAAAAGTATAGTTGAAAAAATAGTATCAATGTAGGAAGAAGCTTTAAAGAAAGAATTGAAAGATATTAAATGGCAAAAAAGAAAAGATTATCTTGATAAATAATAAGATAAAATATAATAATTTAAAGAAAAAAAAGAAGAAATAAGATTTAGTGAATCTTAAGTGATTGGAGAATAATTAAGAGAATAGAAACCAAAACATATTAATTATATGAATAATTTAAAGAAAGAATTTAGAAAGAATTAATCAGAAGTAATTATTAAAAATATATTTACATAATAAGATGAGAGAAAAGATTCTCCAAAAAAATAAATAGATAAATTAAAATAATAATCTTAATAATTATAATCTTAATAATAATAAACTTAATAATAATAATCTTAATAATAAAAATAATAATAATAAGAAAAGAAAATAACAAAAGAAGAAAAAGCTGAACTTAGATTTAAAGCAAGAACTGCTGAAATGGCTGCTCATTACAAAACATCTTTAGAGAAAAAGGAAAGATTAAATGAAAAGTTTTAAAATTTTTATAAAGATCCAAAAGTATAAGCAGAATTTAAACATTTTAGATCATCTGGAAGTGTGGTATTAATTAATATTATATTTTGAGGCATTTAATCATTATCTTAAGTATTCTGATGCATGGAATTATAGTAGTAAAAAGATAGTTTTATAAGGATGGTTAGATTTTTCAAATGCTTTCAATTTAATATAGGTATTTAATGAAGAATAATTAATAAAAGTATTTACGAATACTTTAAAATAAAAGAATTATGTAGCACATAGAGAAGCAGTATAAAAGAATTTAAAATATCAAGATGAAACAGGTTTAACATATTTTGAATTTGAATATATGTTATTGAAAATAGCCATTATGGGTTAAGAATACTTTAATGCTATTTAAAGTGGAAAGAAATTAGAAGATAATTTAAAATAATTAATTATTTATAAGGAAAAATAAAGTAAAAAACCAAAAATAAAACATAAATATGTTGAAATGTTAGAAGACAATATGAATAAAACTACTAGCTTCACTTTAGCAGCCTGTTTAGCTTATTTAGATATTCCATAGAATAAGGATCTATTTGCTGGTAAATTGAGATCGATTGAAGGAGATGATATAATAGAGGAAACAAGACCAAAACATTAATCTGTTGGTAGATATTTACAATTAAGGTTGATTAGACTTATCATCATTGAAAAAGAAACAAGGATTACCAGATAGTCCTTAATTAAAGAAAAGTAACAAATGGTCAGAACCAGGTACACATGGAAAGAGTAAAGCAGAAAAGAAATCCACGACAGATTCTCCACTTAAGTTACCTTATCTTCCAAAAGATGCTAAGAGTAAAGAATTAATAGAGATTACAAAGAAATGGGAAGAGTAGAGGAAGAAAAAGTGATTCAGTTTAATAAATATATATTAATAATGAAAAATTTAAGAAGTTGTTTATAATCAGAATAGGCTTATAAGGAAATAAGAGAATATAAGGAGAATATTGAGGATGAGTAAATATATTATTAATCATTGTAGTACTACTTTAAGATATGTATTTGAGACAGTGGAAGAAATAATGTATAGTAAATAATCTGAACCTATAGAGATGGTTTTAGGAATGAGAGTAAATTTATTGGTATGATTTAGCTGATCAGTTTATAAAAGAACTAATGGATCTACATTATGAGTGTGTATTGGATGGAGTAACAAAGAATTTAATATTTATGATTGAAGAGATCATTAAAAGGGATTCTAAGAAGAGAGAGAGAGGGAAATATTATTTCAGTGAGAATCCAGGTAGTTTAATGTAGAGAATTAGATTAAAAATTGATGATTTTGGGGAATACTCTAGTGAGATTATCATTGGAAAGTATATTTGTTTGGAATTTATGGCATCCACATAATACAGTGATCAATTAAATGTATGGAGAGATCTATGAGTTAGATATTTAAGATTGAAGGAAAGTGGAGTAGAGTTCCCTAAGTTACACTATTTTAATGCTTAGAAAGTCAAGGAGTATTATATGGTAATCAAAGAAAGTTCAAAGAATGGAAGTTTATATAGATAATAATCATCAATGCTTAATGAATAATGTTTTGATTAATTAAAAAAGGTCATTGAGAAAAGTTAATTTAATAATGGGAAATTACATGAGATTAATGAAGAATTAAAATGTAAATACTGAACTAATTATAGAAATAAAAATTGTTAATGAAAATCAGAAAGTTTTTATAGAAAATTTTGATAAAGCTTATTAAGATTATTTAGTTAATAAATAATTGGAGTAATTTAATAATTAAATTCATTCAATGTAAATTTGTAAATTAAGTTAAGTTGTTTAGAATATGATGAATTCCAAAGTTATTAAAATAAAAATAATCAATTATGCAGTTATTCTACAGATAAATAAAGTAATCATATTTCAAGAACTGTTAGTGTAATTTTCTATTTATATATATTATAGTATTAAAATTCTCAACATAAAAATAATTAATCAATTGAAAAATTACTTTAAGAAAATGATATAATATAAGCTTAAATTCAGAGTTTTGAAATACCAAAAACTTCTACTAAAAATCAAGATTAATATTAATGAGTATATTCTATATTATTATTAATTTTCTACAATTATTTATGATTAGTGAATCCATGTCATTTGAAAAAGAAATGGAAATTAAAAAAAAAAGAGAATCTAGAAGAGAAAGATCTAAATTTGAAGATATATAGTATTAATTTTATTTATATAATTAGAGAAGAGAATGAATCTTAGAAAATGACATGTTATGAAAGTATATTAAATTGTATGGGTTCATGTTTTGGAACATTAAGAGCATGGATTCCATGTTGTTTTTGTTGTTGTCCTTATCCATATTATCTTGTTACTTAAGGTTAAAAAGGTTTACTACAAAAATTTGGTAAATATGTAAAAACTTTAGATTCTGGGCTTCATGAAATAAATCCGTATTTTATTTATTCATTATTCTTAGATTTACTGAGAGAGTTATACCTGTCAGTACTAAAACATTGTATAATATTCAGATTATATTTCAGTATCATAGATTTAGAAAGATAACTTGTCTTAACTAAAGATAATATAACTGTCAACATAGACACTATTGTTTATTATAGAGTTGTAGATGTTATGAAATCAGCATATAGAGTTAAAATGATTGTTGAAGCAATCAAAGAAATCACTTATGCTGTAAAACATAAATCACTCTATTTCTATAGACTTTACGTACCATTTGTGGAGAACACACTTTATAAGAAATTATAGAAAATAGATAGAAAATAGCAGATGAAATTGAAGGATTCATTTTTGATGTTGTTTCTGAATGGGGTAATCATTTCTTATTATTAAGGTATTTATTTGGAACATATTTTCATTAAGGATATGTTAATGAATGAAGAATTATAAAGTTCATTATCTAATGCACCAAAAGCATAAAGACTTGCATAATCTAAAATTATTTCAGCTTAAGTAAATATAATAATACATTTATAGAGTGATGTCACTGCTGCAAAATTATTAAGAGAAGCTGCTGATATGTTAGACTCTAGAGCTGCCATGTAGATTAGATATTTTGAAACTGTTTAATTGATTGCTAAGAATCATAATCCAAAAATACTTTTTCTATCTATGGATTAATAAAATCAAAAAAAATGATTAATATATATATATTTTAAAAAAATACATGTTAAAATAGATTATTTTACTCTTATTTATTACATCCATTCTAACTATCGATTGTGATTATTGTAAAGCAGAATTATTAGATAGTCTAAGAGTAATTTCAATTATTGATATTAGGTTAAAACGGATAGTGTGATTGTTAAATGTTTAGATTCTGATTTCTCTAAGAATCCTGTTGGAACCATTTTTGGAAATTGTTTATCTATTTAAGGAGTTGATTCCTATAAAATTAAATAACTAGTATCCTGTATAACTTCAAATTGTTGGGATCAATGGATTAATCAAAAAAATGAATAGTTTTTATTCTGAAATTGTTATTAATATATTGTTTACTAATTTAATTTCTTTATTCAGACCTATGATCTAAAATTATATTTAATAATATCTTAATCAATGAATATTCAAGATAATTTAACAATCCTAAACCATCAATTACACATTTCTAATAATAAACTTTAACTTCAAGTTGAAGTACTCTCACATCAAAACAACTTATTAAATAAGAAACTTGTAAAATAATAAAACATTTCCAAATAAATTTAATCCTTACAAAATGAAAACAATCAACTTAAATAGGACATCTTAGCATTATAGGAAACCTTATTCAATCTATAGACTCAAAAAAATAATGAAATTGAATAATCATATTCCTCTATGCTTTTAGCTTATTCTAAAGAAAATGAAAAAGAACTTACTTACTTAAAAAAAGAATATAAAGATCATATATTTAGATTACAATAAGAAAAAAATTAATTGTTTGAATAAGCAGTTTCTATGGGTATATAAAATTAAACAGCTAAGAATTTGGAGTTGTAAACTACTAAAATCATATAAATTGCATAAAAATTAGAGTAAATTATTTGTTGAATTAATTATAGAAAAATATTATACGAATCACCATAAAATTAAGAAAGTAAAAAAGAGAAAGTCAATTCTGCTAGAGAAATTTACGATAACTTAATTAATTAATTAAATACAGACTTAAATAAAAATTAAAAAGAATATGAAAAAAATGATAAATTTTATCAGTAATCTATTCAAAATCAATTTATTAGTACTTTAGCAGCCTCTAAAAATTCCAATTCAACCAAATCAAAAGATAGACCAATTAATTTTACTAAATTGTTATCTATGACTAGAACTAATGAGTCTCCTAGAAGTTAAGCATATTTAAATGCCCTTTCATTACAAACTGGAAATAAAAAATAATGATTACATTATAATAATTATTATTGTATTTATAAGTTATTATAACATTTCTTATTATTTATTGAACAATAATTATATATATAATTTATAGTATAAATATTAACTTATTACAATGAATTAATCTCAAATATAAACTAATCACAAATCAATTAAAAAAGATTCAGGGGAAAACAATAATAAATTATCAAGTGGGTCAATAGTGGCAACAAAATTTAGATTGATAGATAAAGTTGGTTAAGGAAGTTTTGGAATGATTTATAAGACAGAGAATATGGAGACTGGGGAGATATTTGCAACAAAATTTGAGAAGAGAGAAGAAAATTAAAATGGAGCAGTTAGTTTGTTAGTAAGGGAAATAAAAGTATTAATTGAAGTGCAAGATTTTGAGGGTATTTAAAAATAATTGAATTAATAGGATTTCCTTAAATTGTATTTTATGGAAGGGATGAGTATTACAATTATTTTATGTAAACATATTTGGGATACAATTTGGAATAATTATTAAAGAGATGCAATTACAAATTTAGTATTTAGAGTGTTTTAAAGATTGGAATTATATTAATAGAGAGAATAAAAATGTTACATTAAAAAAATTTAATACATAGAGATTTAAAGCCTGATAATATTTGTATAGGTTATGATGATATCGATTAGATATATTTAATCGATTTTGGTTTAGCTAAATATTATAGAAATTCTTAAGGTGATCATATACCTTAAAGTGATAGAAGAGGAATGATTGGAACAGCTAGATATGCTAGTTTAACAGCACATTTAGGTAAATTATGATTTCTAATTTATAGGAAAGGAACAATCACGAAAAGATGATATTGAGAGTTTGGGATATGTTTTAGTCTATTTAGCTAAAGGTCGTCTTCCATGGATGAATTTAAATACTTCTACAAAGTCAGAAAAGTATTAAAAAATTAAAGAATTTAAACAATAAATTACTTTAGAGAAATTATGTGAAGGATTGCCTAAAGTTTAACGTCATATTCATCATATAAGTGTTTCTTGAATCTTTTTATCTATGCACGTGGCCTAGATTTTTAAGGAGAACCAGAGTATTCGTTTCTAAAAGATCAATTTTAGAAATAATATTAAATAGAAGTATAATCCTCATAGAACCATGTTCCATTAGATTTCGAGTGGGAGCGTTTACCTGAACTTAAAAAAAGGAAATAAAGAGTAATAGCTAATTAATTGAAATAAAAATTAGGTACTTAAATATAATTGTATAAGAAAAATAAACTGAAATTAAGCCTGAATTAGATATAAAGAAAAGTTATGATGAAAGACCAGAATAAAGAGGAAGTTCATTTTTAAATGTACCTGTTTAAGAAAATGAATAATAATAACTTTCACCTGAAAAAAATAAATAAAGCAGAGTAAAGATAATAAATTTTATTAAATTTAGAGATGTAGTTAAAATGTATCTAGTATGGGTACTAGTTAAATTAATAATTACAATTAATAAAGTTAGAAAGAGAATTTTAGAAAATTTGCTTATGAAAAACGAGAGCAATCTTATTTCTCAATTGAAAAAAAAGAATAAAATTAAAAGAATTTCCTTAAATAAACATCAACAAAAGCTGAACGTTAATAAGCATTATAGGATATAGATAATGATTATAGAGATTTTGATGATCTAGATTAATTGGCAGATGAGGAAACCAATATTGCCATTTTTAATATTACACCTCATTTATCAAGAAGAAAATTTCAATGATCATTTAAAATATTAATTCACACAATTTATTAAATATCTGATTTAAATTTCTAAATATATTTTTATTACAATAATAATAAATAAGTAGTAGTATATATATATTATTATTATTATAACTATTATTGTCTTCATATTCTTATTAATAAGAGAACAAGTATAATAATTAGATTATGAGATAGTATTTTAGAATTAATTAAACTTATATGATGATATATTAAATAATTATGTATAATAATCATTTTGAACTAGTTGGTGATGATCTATTTGTTAACTTTTTGATGGATTAACCTCAGTACTCTTTACATTTTATATCAAGAAACAATTTTCCTCATGTTAATAGTAATTCCAACATCCATTACCCAATTTCAGATTATGAAGGTCAACCTTAATAAGAATTCCTGATAGCCAATTAAATTCAGCCATAGAATCTTAATAAGAAATAATAGAAAAAAAAGAAAATTGATGAAACAATACTCAATAACAAAAATAACCTAAAGAATACATATATAAATAAGATCACGAATTTAATTCAAGAAACTAAATCAAATGTGGCTCCGAAATATGAAAGGAAAGCTTCTACTTACACTGAAGATTCAGCTTAAGCAAAACTTATTCGTAATAGAGAGTGTGCTAGAAATTCAAGAAAGAGAAAGAAAATCTATATTGAATTATTAGAGACTAGAGTTAACTCTTTAAATGAAGAACTTGAAAAATGTAAAAGAATAATCAAAGGACAAAATAGTTGTTAATAATAATTAGGTTCAAATCAATAGGTATTTTTTAATATATTAACTAAGTTATAAAACTTCATTTTGGGTAGATAACAATTATTTGAAAAACTTGAAAATGCTATTTAAAACCATACAGATAATAATGAAATTAATCTTCTCTTAGATTCTATGAGATTTAGAGTTGGAGGAGGAGGCAAAGAAAGAGTTAATGCTTCCAATTATTTCTTTTAATAAATTATGGAAATCTGTTTTCCTATACATGTAAGATACATGTTATGGGCAGCTACTTCTGAAAACCAAGAACCAGCTTGGTTTACTAATTTATCTAAAGAAATCAATCTCACTGAAGTCTAAAACAAATCTTTAAAAAAATAATATAAAAGAATTTAATAAGATAAAGATAAATTGGAATAGTATATCAATATATATATATCTTATAGATTAATCAAATAATTCTAAACTGTTAAAGATAATTTGTATTCGAAAACTAATCAGTTAGAAAATTTCATAGATGAACTCAGAAATATACTTACTCCCACTTAAATTGCTACTTTTCTTATTGGACTTGAAAAAGTATGGAACTTTATTCAATTTATATAATAGAACAAATTTTAAAAAGAAATGAGTATTTCTAATCTTTGGAAAATATTTGATGAAGAGTTCGAAACTGAAGTAAAAGAAGAAGATTCACTACAACAAGATATTTAATAAAAGAAAATACATCTATGATCTAATCCTAACTTAAATCATTTTTTTACATATATATTATTTATTATGTCAACTGTTTTACCCATTTTAATACCAAAGAGCAAAAACATATTATTACTAAAAGATGATATTGGTAAACCAAAACCAACTACTCGAAATCTTCCAAATGACAGTTTTAGATATGGAAAATAAAGTAAAAGAGACCCTATTTAAATTTAATTTTCTACTTTAGAATGTGGAAATGAAATCTCATCATTCATGCGAAGAAATCATAGAGTTTAAAAATCAGACATAACTTTAATGACCCATGGAATCAAAAATAAGTATTAATATATATAATTTAATCTTTAGACCCTAAACTCCATTAGATAAAGTCTTAAAATATTAATATGCTACCGAAGCAAAAGAACAATTAGATAAGATATATTAAAAAAGAATGAAAACAGAACCTAGAACATAATCATTTAATTAAAACAGATCATTTTCATTAAGATAATAACATAATACAAAAAAAGAATAGAAAAAAATGTTTAAGCTTTAGTAGTTTTAAGATATCAAATCTAAAATATTTTAATGAACCCCATAATCTATGCTTCATTTATGAATACCATTTATGCTATTTTAAAGATAATCAAAAAATATACCTTTAAAAATAGAAAACATCTTATCCATATAAATTTGTTTCAATCTATATAGTCTTTCCATTTTATATGTCATTATAATGTTAGATTCACTCAATTATCTTAATCTTTTTTTTCAACTTTCATTTAAAGATTCTCCAAATTTTTGATTCTCTTTATGAAATTCATATGATGTCTAATCCTAAATGATTTAAAAATATCTGTATTTTAGTGTATACTTATGAGTTACTCAAAACAAGTTTATTAAAAATGGTTTTACTCTTAAAAAAAAGTTTAAAATTATAAAGTGTGAGTAATCCTATAAGATATTGAGTAAATAGAAACTATTATATTAAGTAGTTTGATAAAGTTTATATAAATAATCTAATAAATTGTATAAATATATATATATATGATATTTAAATTAACAAAAATAATATACCAAATAATGTAGAATTAATACTTAAGTAATTGTAAAAATGTAGATTTATCATAAAATTAGTTTTATTGAATAGAATTAGTATTTTACCAGAAATAGAGTTGAAATTCTAAGTAGATTTAGTTGTTTTGATTTTATTTAGTTAATAATAAAGAATATTATTACAATTTTTTGGATAAAGAATGAATTAAAATAAATTGAATTCCATTTGTTGATAAATATTTTAATCTTGATATATCCTTAATGATTTAATAAAAAAATAAGATTACATCTATAAAATGAATGATTAAGTTGTATACATTTATAGGTATTTGTAATGAAAATAATAAATGATATTATATCATTAATTTTTATGTAGCCACAGAATTGGAATAAGGCAGTCATCCAAAACCTTTAAGATATGATTATTAATCAAGCTGACATGAGTATATTCTTGAGACAAAGTCAAAAACTTAGAGTATTGCTTACAATTCCACCAAAAGAAAGAACGGATGATCATATAAAAGAAATAAGTGTTTTAGTGCAGGTTTGTAAAAAAAACCAAATTTAATTTCCACTTAGGGAGTCAAATTTTTATCCCGATATCGAGACAAGCCTTATTACAATGAATTGTGTCGTAATTTGTATGTAAAGACTTTCCAATAAAGAAAAACAATATTCAAGTAAGGTGATAAAGGAACATGTTTTTATGTTATTTTAAGTGGGATTGTTAAAATATATGCTAATGAACCCACTTGTTTTCCAGGATAATTCAAAAAGAGAGAAGTAGCTGTATTAGGTAAAGGTAATTGTTTTGGAGAAATTGCATTATTTTTTGGTTCTTAAAGAACTGCAACAGTAATAGCAGAATCAGAATGTGATTTATTAATGTTAGATAGAGATGTGTTTTAATAATATATATAAGGAGATTCAGAAACTTTGGATTTATAATCAACTAATTTGAAGGATGTTAGACATTTCCTTAAGAAAGTTTAACAATTCTCATATTTTACTTCTGAAGAAATTACTTAAATAAGTACAAAATGTCTTAAATAAACTCTTAAATAATAAACAATAATTTTAAAATAAGGTGTTGTACCTAAATCAATATTCATAATTAAAAGTGGAAGAGTACGTGTAATAAAGAAGATTGATGTTGGGAATTATGAATTAGATGAATTAGAATAAGGTTCTATTTTTGGAGATTATGCTTGCCTTACAAATAATATATCTGATTATACATATATTACTTCAATGCCAAGTGAAATAATTTAAATTAATGGTTTTGATTTAAAATAATATGTCTCATAAGAGAATTTAAATAAATATATTGAGTCTATTAGATTTTATCCTGAACCAGAAACTCTATGTTAAATGTAAGTAGAAGATTAATAATGGAAAGAATACAAAAAATAATTAATTTAAAATGTTGTAAATGATAAGTTAAATAGTAGAGGATTTGATAAAAGAATGAGATTACCTGAATTACGTTATAAATTAATTGATGCTCCAGATCAGTAAATATTTTAAAGAACTTTGTAAATATATATTGTAATTTATGTATTTAGTGTATTAAGATAGAGTTGTAGAACTCCTTAACATAAGCAATTGTTTCCAAGAGAAATTGAATCTTTGCGTAATTAGATTTCTCCAAAGAGGATGAAATAATTTGAATAAAATTACTTATGAATTATAATAATATACGAAGTTTTGGGAGTAAACGTCGAGAGTCAATGGCTTCAGTGAGTAAGGAGCAAATTAAGATTCAAGAAGATGAAGCAACAAATGTTTAGTTATTCATTCTCCAAACAGAAAAGTTAAAGAAACTATTGTACATACAAAAGGATTAAAGAGATGAAAACATTCTTTCAGAGATTGCATCAATAGCAAAAGTACCATTTACTACGAATCCTAGCAAATAGGTTTCTTGAGTAAATATAAGGATAGACCTTACTTTACTGCTTTGTGTAAACACCTTTACATGTAGACATTTCAACCTAATTCATGTATTTTCAAATAGGGAGATGAGGGTGATAAATTTTATGTTATTTTAAATGGAAGTGTGAGAGTATTAATTGATTAAGCTACAACATTAAAAGATGTTATGATTAAAAAAGAAGTTGCCTAATTGAAAAAAGGTGAATTCTTTGGTGAGATGGCATTATAGTTTAATTTAAAAAGAACTGCCACTATCATTACAAATGAGATAACTGATTTGATTATTTTAGAGAATGAAGCATTTTAATAGTTTATGTTAGCAGATCATATGTAAACAGAAAGAGTAAAAGAGACAATCAATTTTTTAGAATAATTAGATATTTTTTAAGGATTCAGCAATAAAATAATGGTAAGTTTAAGTACAAAATGTATATAAAATAGACATAAACATTAAACAATATTATTGAAAGCAGGCACAGTACCAAATAAATTATTTATAATTAAATCAGGATGTGTTACAGTAATATAAAAATTACCAGGAGTTAAATCTGATTACACTCCATAAGTAGAATATGGATTTCCATTAAATGAATATTTTGAATTAACTGAATTAGGAGAAGGTGAAATCTTTGGAGATTTAGCTATGTTAAAATAAGAGAAATCTAAATATACTTATATGACAGCTATTGAATCAGAAATTATTACATTAAGTTTGTTTGATATTAAATAAATTGTACCTCCAGAATTATTAGATCAATATTTAATTAAGTTATAGACTTATCCAGAATAATCTGAATTAAAAGAAATGATTATAGAAAAAGGTAAATGGGAAAAATACAAGAAATAACTTTTTAATAAAATATAAAAAGAAAAACAATCTCGTAAGGGATTTAATTAAGGTTTGAGATTACCTACTTTAAATGATTCTTATATCCAACCACCTAACAAACATAATATTAAAGCCTTGTATATATATATATTATTATTATTATTATTAGTGTTATCAATGACAAAAGACAAAGACTTACACCTGTAGAGAAAAGACTCTTCGTTAATGAATTGAATTATATTCGATAATCTGTTTCTAATGAGAGGCTAAAAAAGTTTTTACAAAGTTACTAGTGATTTTCTAGAATAATTATTTTAACAACAAATATTATATACAATTTTGAAGCCAAAGCATAAAACAATTATTTATTTTACATTAATAAAAATCACTTGAAATAAATGTCAAAGGAAGTTAGCGAATTGGTTATCACAAGGTTAAAAGCAGAACGTAGAGCATGGCGAACTGATCATCCTCATGGATTTGTTGCAAAACCTACCACTAAAGAAGACGGAACAGTTGATTTACTTAAATGGGTATGTGAAATACCAGGACCACAAGGAGTATAATCCTCTTTACAATTAGTGTCCTTGGGAAGAGGGTACCTACACTTTACATATGGATTTTTCGCATGATTACCCTATGAAACCACCTAAATGTTAATTTAGACCTGTTTTACCACATCCAAATGTCTACCCTTCTGGAACTGTCTGTCTATCTATTCTCAATGAAGAAGAAGACTGGAAATCTAGTATTACAGTTAAACAAATCTTACTTGGTATTTAGAAGTTACTCAAAGATGAACCCAATATTGAAAGTCCTGCTCAATATGAACCATGCAATTAATATAAGTAATTCTACTTCATTTTATTCATAGAAATAATCGCCAAGAATACTTAAAGAAAGCAAGAGAATTCGCTGCTTCACTTAAGAAGCAACCTTAATGATCATATAATCAGTCAATATCTGTATCAATTATATAGTGTTAATTGCACAGATCCAATTTAATCATTATAGTTTTAACATTTATATAATTTTACACAATTCTATCTTCTATTTTCACTTCTCATTAATACTAACATTAATCTTCTTTTTTTACAGAAATCCTTAAGATAATAAACACCAATTATATTATTATTCATATCTAAATATTTATATGTATATTCAAACCTAGTAATTAATTATTTTAACATCTTTTATTACAACTAAATAAATAAGATTATGTTTAAGATCATTCTGTAATCAGTCAGTAAATCTTGGATTATAAATATTGTAAAAAAAACATTGTAATTTCAATCATATTAATTAATAAAACAAATTGTATTATTTTTGAAGAACAAAGGAGGTCAATAAATATGTAATTTAGATTGTATATTAACTGAAATCTATAAACTATTATTTTCATATAATGATAAAATTTGTTTAATTAAGATTCTTATAATGATTATTATAAGTTTCTCATCAGTATTATCATTCATGATAAATCTATTGAAATCAAATACACATATTATCCTCTTGCAATTATGGGTTTAAACAAAAAAACAGTAAATGTTATTATGAATACTGTATAAAGAAATTTAGAATTTATTAAACTGAAAAATTTGGGAAATATACATCCATTAAATTGGATGAGTCAAATATGAAATATCCTAAAATCTTATAAAATTATCTTAATTAATTTTGTAATGAGTATAATAAAATAGTTTATAGTTTCAATAGATATACATCATATTGAAGAATTATAAAAATTTATAAAAGAACACTTTTTCTAATACTGAAATCAGTATAATTAATAATTATGGATTTAGTTTATGATTCCTTTTTGATTTATCAATAATATTATTTGAACTTAAAATTACAAATGGGGATCTTAAACAAAATTATTCAGATTATTATATAAATGAATAGTAAAAGAAGAAATTATAATAAATATTTATTCATTAATTATTGATTTAAAATATATAAATTAAAATATTGATGAAAAATAAAATTATTATTGAGTAAATGAAGACTTAAAACTTGAATTGAGTTCTTAAATTTAAATTCAATAGAAGTCATTGAATGCTTAACTCTCTAAATGTGGATCTTACTTAAAAAGAATAATGATTAAATTATTAAAATTTGTTTTAACATATTATAAAATCAATCTTTTATACTTTCTAAAAGATGTAAAATGTAATATTAATAACGCTTTAAATAATGAATTACAATCTTAAATTTGAGTGTACTTTCAATACTAAACCTGCTTATTTGATTTGTGATAAATTGAATTTGGAAGTGAAAACGAAAAATGAAAATTTTAAGTTTATCATTTCACTGAAGCTTCATTTCTAATGGATTTATTTTGAGAGTTAAATTCATGAGGCTAGAATTTAAAATTGTTCTTTAAAGGGTTCTACACAAAACTTAGAAAAATTAAAAAACTTTTTAGATTGTCGAGTTATGTATTTAGGTGCTGCAGAATTGTATGAATAATATTTGGTAATTAAAGAAGATGAATCAAAAAAAGTATTAGTGATATTATTAATTATAGGCAATGATTGTTAAATCAATGGTGAATGGATAAAAATACTTTTGTAAGGTATATAAAAAAGAAGTTAAAGAAAATGAAAAATAATTTTAAAATGAAGTAAAGATCTTGAGAATGTTAAAAGAGAATAAGTATATTGTAAGAATATTGGAAGTTTATGAATCATAACATAATTATTATATGATTATGGAATATTTAGAACATAAACTTGAATAAGATTATACTCATGAAGAAAATTAAATTATAATAAAAGTATTTATAATATAATGAATTGATAGGAAATATTAAACATTTTAGAAGATTTGAATAATAAATGTATAGTTCATGGTTAAATTAGACCAAAAAATATAATGTTTGATAAGGGGAATGTTATAAAATTAATAGGATTTAGTAAAGCAAGAATATTAGATTAAGTGGATGGATTGGATATGTTTGATTTACATAAAATAGTTTTGTATTTAAATGGTCTTAGTCCTAAGACAGTAGATTTTGTAAATGGAATTTATCCAGATATTCCATCTCATGGGACTAACTTTCTAAAAAGTCTTTTGAATAACACTTAATATAGAATGAATATCAAATAAGCACTTAGTCATCCTTTTTTAAAATGTATTGAAACAGATCATTAGATTGTAAGAGCAGAAATGAATTTGAAATTCAAACATAGTTTTAATAATTTTTAATGAGTTGTTTTTTATTTATAATTAATTAAGGATGTATAAGAGAATAACAGCAAATCTACGTAGTAAAGAAGAAGATGAAGACTTTTTTGAATGGAATCAAATGTATGTTCAATAAGAGATGGAAAGTGATATTGAATGTTATAGTTGTTCACTCTGTGATAGACAATTTGGTAAAAATGAATATGAATTGAATGCTCATTTAAATTCTCATGATCATAAGAAATTAGAGAAAGAATTTAGAAAACGATACAATAATTTGATTATTGAATATAGATTAAGCACATATTCTTAAAGAATAGGAAGAAAATTGAAAAAACTATAGTACTTTAAGAGCATTTATGAATACAAATGATTAATTAAAATATGAAATAATTATCAAAATCAATAAGATATGCCTATTGGAATACAATTAAGGATATCAATCCACTCTTTGTAGAAGCATAATATGCTGTAAGAGGATAAGTCCCTTCGATGGCAGCCACTATACAAGAAGAAATTAATGCTGGCAAGAAATATCCATTTGATTCAATTACTGAGTTAAATATTGGTAATCCATAAACATTTGGTCAAAAACCCATAACATTCAATAGAAGTGTTCTTTCTTCTATGTTGGATCCAAACATCTTGAAATATCAGTCTGGAGATGTTCAAAGAAGAGTCAAATTTTACAATGACAAAATTGGATTCCAAGTTGGTGCTTATAGTTAATCTCCAGGTTATCCAATAATAAGAGAAGCAGTTGCCAAGTATATTTAATAAATTAACTTATTCTTAAAGTTTCATCTAAAAAAGAGATGCCACCAAAAATAAACCTTCAATTAATGATATTATTCTTACTGATGGTGCATCATCAGGCATTACATTAATGTTCAACTTATTACTCAAAGATAAAAGTGACGGTGTTATGATTCCAATCCCTTAATATCCTCTATATTCTGCTGTCATTGCATAATGTGGAGCATAATAAATACCTTATTATTTAGTTGAGGATAAGAATTGGTCTGCTGAATAAAAATAATTAGAAGGTATTAATAATTAAAATATCATAAAGAATAATATTCCAAAGCTAAAAGAAATGGAATCAATCCAAGAATATTAGTATGTATAAATCCAGGTAATCCAACAGGATAAGTATTTGATAAATAGAGTATTGTTGAAATGATCAAGTATTATTGATTATTTATATAAGATTTGCTGCAGAAAAGAAGATAACTATCTTTGCAGATGAAGTTTATTAAGAAAATATTTATGATCCAAAAAAAAAGTTTATTTCATTTAGAAAAGTTGCTAATGAACTTAATTTAGATGTTGAAATTTATTCATTCCACTCTATTTCTAAAGGTATTACTGGAGAATGTGGTTTAAGAGGAGGATATATGGAAATCACATCTAAAATTGATTCTGAAGTTCATTTCCAAATTCATAAATCTAAAAGTATATATATTATTCATATTCTATAGCAATTATGTTATGTTCAAATACTGTAGGATAATTGATGACAGGATTGATGGTAACTCCACCAAATGCTGAAGAAGGTTGTTCTGAATCTACTGTTTAATAATATAATGAGGAATGTAAGGCACTCTTCACTAGTTTATAAAGAAGAGCTAGTATTGTTACTCAATATCTTAACTAAACTAAAGGTGTATCTTGTTAACCAATTGAAGGTGCCATGTATGCCTTCCCAAGAATATTTTTATCAGGTATTTCTACTTCTAATTTCTTTTATTAGATAAATTTATTTCACATGCTAAAAAATTAGGTTATGAACCAGATGTTTTATATTGTTTAGATCTTCTTAAAGAAACTGGATTAGTTGTTGTCCCAGGTTCTGGATTCTTACAATATCCAGGAACTTATCATTTTAGAATGACAATTTTAATATTACCTGAAGAGAAACTCTTAGCTAAGATGAAAGTATTCTAATAATGGCATGAAAATTATCTTGCAAAATTCTAATGAATGAATGGTTTTTATATTATATGAACAAACAATAAGTAATTATTCAAATAATGATTGAGTGCTTTTCTTACTCATTATATTAAGATCTATTAAAATTTATTTATATGAATTAAATGAATAATTTAATTATAGATTAGTATATAATAATATACTTCATATAGTAAAATTAATTGTTATAATAATTATGAATAAAAAAGAAATTACTTTTAATATCATCAAATCTATGTCTATTATTTAACTTTTGAACCTAAAGTTGATGCATAATCAGCATATTTTTTAGCATTTCCAACTACTCTCTTAATTCCCATTACTTTTGTAGGTAACAAAAGTAATAGCACATATGGTACAAAATCATACCAAACTGATTCAGCTCCTATTTAATTATTATAATTAATATTTACTAAACATAGGTTTCTTAGCAGATATATTTGGGTCAAACCATTTAAATTCGTATCTTACAAATTCACATCTTCCATAAACCAAATAATTGAATAAATTTATAATTTTACTTCCTATTAATTTATAATGATCTAATTATATAAATCTTTTTCTTTAATCAATATAAGAAGCTGAAAGTAATTCCTCTATTTTATAATATGAATTCAAATAAGGAACATATTCCTTATAGACAGGAAATTCCAATACTAGTCTTTTTCCTTATTTGATTAAATTCTAAACACATAATCTTGTTTCTCTTTATAAACCTGTATATCCTTCATTTTTTATCAATTTAGCAAAACGTTGTATTCTATCAAAGAAAAGTAATAGTTAAAAGTTCTTTACAAAGAATTCTTTCATAATTTTATCGGCATTCTCATCTTTTGATTCTGTCCAATGTATATATGGATTATGGATATTAAATTTATTACCCATAAGTATCCAATCTCTTGGTTTGTATTCTTCAACATAATGTTTATCTTTGAAATCTTTTAAGATGATTTCCTTGTACTTTAGAAAAAGCTCATTTTATTTTTATAGATCTATGCTATTGATGAGGATTACTTTTTTCTTTGGAAAGAGCTGCAGTGAAATATTCAGAGGCATCTATTATTTTGTCATCTACGTATTAAAATAGACATAATTTTTCTAAGAATACTTCAACACTGTACAAGTACATCAAGGAAAAAATGATGCTTGTTGATCTCCTTCGAACACAATTCAAAGTAAATTTGAATAATAATGGATACCATTTATATGCCCAAGTTTGATTATAAACGTAGTTGTAGTAATCCATCTCTGTGTAAATGATCATTTTATTGAATCGAGTAACATTATTATCATCTACTTTAAACAATTATCTAAATTCATTGTAAGTTAATAATAAGTATGGTTTGTATGTAGGATTATTAAAAAGTAATCTTCTATTCTCAGGAGATTCCTATATTTTTTTTGAGTTTAATAATTCAATTACCCTATCCATTAAGAAAATTAATTAAGGTTTTTAATCAGTTTTATAAAATACATCTATATACATACATATATATATATATCAATAAGATTTTTAATATATCATTTTTTTATTTTATTCAATATGGTTCCAATTTACAAGTAACTCTTTAAACAATTCATAAATTCTTAATCTGGTTGAAATTCTTTAGGAGTATAAATATATTCAGAATCATATGATTCTTCTTATTCTTCTTATTCAATCTCATCTTGATTATCTATTAAGAATTAAGTGTCTGAATTAAATTTAACAATTTAGAATTGTCCATCTTGATTTTGTTGTACACCAAATTAAGCCTTTTAAATTCTAAATGCTGATGGATTAATTATTTCCTGACTGGAATCAAACTTCTTATACATCAACTAAATCATGCCCTGTTCATAATGTTAAATTGCTTATGTTTAATGTGATTCAATTTCTTCTGTAATTTGAATAGCTTGTAAATAATTTGTTTAATTCATATATCATTATAATTCACTTTTGTTTCACGTATTTAAAACATGATAGCTGGTTAGGTTTTATCTTAAGCAATAGAATCAAGATCTTTGTATTATCTCTATTATACTCTAGGAGCAAAGTTGATTGGCAATTAGACTCTAAGAAAATTAATATGAAATATATATACTTATTTTCTTATAATTATGCTTCTTCTATAACTCCTTTGAGAAATATCTATCTCTATATAGTGGCTTTACTAATTCTCTCAATTTTATGATTATTAGCCATTTATTGATCTATAACTTATTATTTTAAGGATTGTTAATGTTCCCAATATTATTTCTCATGTTTAAGAGAAATATGTTTAATTAAGAAAGTTCCTCCTTAGAATTATTTTTCACAGAATATACAAGGATAAGCATCTTTCTATCTAGTTTTTATTTATTTCAATCCCATTTGTATAATTTCATTGTCAATCAATTCATTTAATGGTAATTCATCACTACTCTCTTCTCTACGACGATTACATAAAGCTTGAATAATGTCTTACCACTCTAAATTACACTTCTTTTTTTAGTCTAATCTGAAGAAATGCTAATTTTATAAATGAGTCCACTTACATAGCCTACTTTAGAGACAAGTAATCTATAGTCAGAGAATTCAGCTCCACTCCAATAACAATAATTATGTATTCTTCTCAAATATAAGGTTTGAATATCTAATTGTCTATTGAATGTTGGATCATCTCTATCTTTAAGTGGTCCCTCAATAAGAGGATTACCACTTATACCTTTTTCTTTATCTAAGACTTTAATAAGCTCTCTTTATTATTGTAAATCTTTCAATAACTTATTATATTCAACTGATTTAAAGACTCTAATAAATTTCCTAATAGAAAATGATAAAAATGAGACAATACCTTTTTTCTTATTGTTTTTAAAATTGAAGTTAATGTCCTTTTATTGTAATACTTTCATCATTTACACAACGATTACAATATTCTTCACTATCAAAACTCACCCATCCAATTCTAGTATAATTTTATAACTTATTAGGTTCTGATAATGTTAAACTAACATAACCAGCCATTTAAGATAATGCCTTTACCACATCTGCTCTAGAAAGAGGTAAAGGCACATTTTTTAGAAATACACTATTTTGATTAGGATCTGTGCCAAAAAAAGGAGCTTTGGTTATGTCAATAGATTCTAAATTTTAATTAAGTTTAACTTACCTTTGAGTTAAAATTCCCAAAATGGTACATCTGGATCATCATTATAGAAGTGATCATTTAATTCAAAGAGGTCCATTAATTACATTTCTGTCAATGTTAAATTGATATTATTGAAACTTCCCATATTATATTGCTTCAAAAATTCATTGAAGCGATTCTATGCTAATTAATTACGTTCTTCTTAAAACTCTCTTCTATTTACAGGATTATATTTATCTTAGATCCAAGGTTCATCCTTATGTTAATCAAAGAATAACTCTTTCTATTTATTTTCCCATTTCCTTTCATAGGTCTAATAAAGAAGGCGCAATTTCTCAGTCGGAATATCATTGCTTACCTAAATTTATAATAATATGTATATCATACATATAATTCTTAAAATTAATCAAAAGTAAGCAATTATTAATCAAGTGGAGGAAATTCTACAGTGTGTTTAATTCGTTTCGTCTACTTCTTTTTATTTCTAAAATTTCTTTTTTTTGAATTACTTCTACTTCGGTCTTTACTTAGATTTGAGACCGATGATGATGCCGATGAAAAGCTATGATTATTAATTTAGTTTTACCTTCTAGAGGATGCTCGTTCATTCATTAAATAAAATAATCAATCACTTCGATAAAATTATAAACATACATAATACAAATATTGCAGGGAAGAAAATATACATATAAATTATTTTCTCACTATTTCATTTTGTACTATAGAAGATATTCACCTAAAAATCTAACTGCATTTTAAGGTCTATCATTAATATATATATTAAATGAATACTTTTATATAGCAATCTCTCTTAAACCACTTTGTAATGCTTATTTGAATTCTATCTAATAATACTCATTCATAGGTAAATTCTAGAATTTAGGTAAATCTGAATCAATTTTAAATTCATAAGACTTATCTTAGCTGTCTTAATTGCTCATTTAATAATATTTTATTTATATAACACAACATATATATATATTATGATATTGATTTATTTATAATACATTATATTCTTTACTATTAATTTTATTTTAATTGAACCTATTATTTGTTTGAATTATTCATTTATAGATTGATCATGTTAAATATTTTCTATCATTATAATCATATTATTAATAATTATATATAATAAATTAGATGAAAAAGAACATAGATGAGGAGATTGAACTAATTGGAGATTAATCTTAAGTCCATAAAGCGGTTCAAAATAAAAATTCTAAAAATTCTGACTAGTTAGTGATTCTTACTAAAACTCAAGATATCTTACCATAATTTAATGAATCATCTTATCAAACATTTTCTCATGGATCTGATTCTTTTGATTCAGAAGAACATAAATAAAATAAGTAATAGGAAAAACCTAAGAAAGAAGAAATAGAAAGCGTTAGCTTATTTAATTCAAATATAATATCATAAAATAACTAAAATTATATGAAAGAATTTTTTGAAATGTAAATAGAATAACATCTTCAATTATCAAAAGAACAAGCGGAGAAAATAGTTAGATATATACATAATTGTTTTCCTTAAGAAAAATTGTAATAATTAAATATATCATCTGATATGGCTTCGTTATAAAAGAATATAAATTCCCTAGAAAAAATGCTAGGTTTAGAAAATCCATAAGATATAGAAATTATTACTATGTTATTTATGTTGTTATTAAAAATTGTTCTAACAGAATAATATGAAAATGCAGAGAACTTTTTTGAAAAGTATTATGAAGATCAACATTTAAGTAAATTATATGAAATTTATGATTCTTGTCCATTAGATTAACAATAATCCTAAATAAGTTAAAGTTTAAACTAAAGTTAAGATGAAGATGAAAATTAATATGAAAAAGATGATAATGAAGATGAAGAATATATACCTAAAATAATTGAAATATCATTAGAAAAAGACTTTAAAGAATCCTTATTACAAAAATTGAATTGATTGATATCATTTTTTTCAATTATTTTATAAGTACAAAATTTAATTTTTTTAAATAATCAATATATTTTATATTAATTTTAGTGATTAAATTAATATATTTTTCTATCATTTAATTTAAAGTTATTAAATGATGATATAGACTCTAAATATAACCTAAGTTTAAAATATGATTGTAGCATTTAGAGATAGATGTTTTATTATATTTATTATTTTCATAATGAATTCTGAGATGATATTATTACAAATCAATTAATCTAAATATTCATAGTGTATATCAATATATATATGTTTTATTATTATAATATAATTATGTTATATGCAATCTAATTATGTATAATATAAATGGATTTTTATATAATGTTTGTTTTATTTATTATCTATTAATGCTATGCACAATTTAATATATTAACCACAATTGGAGGGAAAAATATTTCAATATATGAAAATGATGTTTAGAATCATTAATTTAGTGTTTAAGAATAGTATCAATGTCATCCATCTGAGTTATTTGAAGAGGATTAGAAATAGGATAGCAGAATTTTTTATATTTAAAATTTACAATCTTAAGCTTTAAATTTAAGCATCATACCTATATCACTAAGACCTAGAGATATGTAATTGATAAATGTGACAAATTAAATTGAGTAATAAGAAATAACAATTGAAGGAAGTTCAATATCAGAATACAAAATAAATTATGAATGTTATTAGAATTGGGCTTTTGTTGAATTACATGTTAGATATGGAAAGAATATTTTAAATTTTAGATATATTAAGTTATGTGAAGAGAAATTGTATTATCATGATTACCCTGATTTAATATTGGCAGTAATGGCTTTGATTTTAACATATATTGGAGCAATTTATGGATAAAAGAGATTTAAATTGAAACAAACATAAACAAAACAATAAATTGATGAATTAGAATCAAGTGAATCATTTTATAAAGCAAGATAAATATATTCTCCTTAATATTCATAACCAGAATAAATAATAAAGATGGGTGAATTTTAAACAACATCTGATTCTGCATAAATAATCTCTACAAAAGGTAAGTAAACTAATTTAATAGTAAGAATAGTATTGTATATGTTTTTTGTAATTGGATTATTGTTCACTTTATATTTATGTGAAGAGATATCTATATTTGAGATTCCAATATATGGAATATATTTTGTTTGTGTTTAAATAGCAATGACAGATCTCTTTATATATATTGTATCATCATCTATTTCACCCTATATAAAATTACCTTTATATGGAAGAGTAAAATTGATAAATTTATTTACTTATATGTTACAATTCGTATACACTTTCTTTCTTGTATTAACAGACAATTGGGTATTAAGAAGTTTTAGTTCCATTTGCTTATTATTTTAATTAATTAGAGTATTAATATTATTAATTAATTTAGTTTATGAAGTTTTACAATCTTCAATAATTACTATCAGTCTATAGTGTTATTTTTGGAATATCATATATTATATAGTATTAATTTTAGATTGAATTTCCAAAATTGCATTTTCCAAATACATTTTTTCTTGAGAATCCTAAATTAACATGTTCAGATAGAAATTTATTGTAATTAATGTTACCATGTTCTTTATTAACTTATACAAGATATTTTAGAAAATAAACTAGATCACATTCAATATTATTTAAATTGGGATATTTAAGTTATATTATTGGAGTATGTTTGAGTCTTAAATCAAATGGAAATAAGATACTTTAGAATTTGATTGATAACTTTTTACCATCAATAATGATCTTACTTACTATAAATGTGTATGGAGTTGCAAAAAGAGAAATGAAATAATTGTATTAAGGAATTGAACCTGGATTACATAATAGAGCAATTTAATAATAATATAGTTATGAATTAACAATTGATAAATATAATAATAAAAATTAGTGAAAATTATATTATCATATATATATACATATTATTTATATTAATATTAAAAATTGAGATAATTTTTATTTTCATATTATCTTAATTTGATATATTGAAAATAAAAATATTGATTATTCATATTATACTTTGTTTATCTTAAAATTAGAGTGCAGTTTAATAAGAATTTTAATAGGATACTTTAGTTTATGAATAATATAAATTTACTATAAAATTTTCTTTTTATTTATTAATTATTTTAATGTAATAGGGTTAAATGGATTAATGTAAGATTCATAATTGTGAGATCACTAGAATATATTTACAACTAGAATCTCAAACAGTTAAATTGGTATGTGAAGAATGCATTGAAGATTAAGGACTAGGAACTAAACTTGATAAATTAGTTTTATTATAAAAAGTACTATTGATTAATTACTTTAAAGGTTAAAAAATAAGCAGAAGAATTAATTAGTAAAACAAATATAGATAACAGTATTAAATCATTTTTATCGAAAATTCTAAAAGCAACTGGGGATGATATCAAAATTACCAAAAGACGATGGAATGATCGTTTATAAAATATGAAATTAATGATAGATAAACTTATAAATGAAACAGAATCATATTTTGATTAACTAAAATTAGAATTAGACAATTTTAGAAAAGGATTAGTTAATGTATAAAATTATATTCTATTAGTAGATTGTGAATTTTAGTAAATTTGACTAATTGATTAAGGATGATTAATAATTTGATAAAGAGACTTAAATAATAAATTATATAAAAGAATTAGAAAATGAAGTTAATGATTAAAAGAAAACAGATATTCTTAATCTAATCAAAGATTATAAGGATAAAATAGCAAAGTATTCATATTAATCATTATTCATTAGTACAAAGATTCCTTAGATTTCAGATAGACTCAATTCTATAACATAAGAAATGAATGAATATCAAAAAATTGTTAATGATTACTCAAAATTATGTAATCCTGATAATACTCTAAATATACCATATCCACCATTTATATCAAAAATTCTATCTTCTCAAAATTTATAGAAATTATTATCAAGAATTTCTAATCAAAATAATAAAATTTAATAAATATACTATGCATAATAATTAGGAATAAATGTTGACTCTTTTTGGAATAGTGTAAACAATAAGTCCAATCTATTAATGATATTTAGATCCAAAAACAAAATCATTTTTGGTGGATATACACCTTGTTAATGGAGAAAATTATAAATATAAATGTAATAGGGAATTAATGATGAAACTTATACATCATTTTTATTTATTTAAAATGGTGAAGAATTGAAGTTCTTTCCAATTAAGAGAGAAATTAAACCAGCCATTATCTTAAGTTCATAATCTGGTCCAAATTTTGGAAATGATTTAATTATTAATTCAGATTTACAAACAGGATAAATTAATTTAGGTAATACTTATTAATCTGATATCCTACCAGTATAATAATAATAATTATTATTATTACTAGGTGGATAGAATTAACTAAATATAAATGATTGTGAAATAATATAGATAGTACATTGATAGAATATTATGTATTTATCATTCATTATATTTCATAATAAAAGTAATATTCAAAATAAATATCAAAAAAATATAAATAAATAATATACAATTTCATCTAACAACAGAAAATTCTAATTTAACATTCATAGCTGCCAATTCATTTACAAGATATCTGAGTACAAATGGTATGGCTACTTTAGAACATTTTGATTTTTTGCATCTCACACAATAAGGATGAGAACTCTACACAGATTATATATTTTCTAAGGATAATAATTGCACAAATTAATAAGTAGCTAACATATTACCACAATTATCACAAATATATGCTAAAATTAATATAATTTATAATACTTTCAGAATAATCTGAACATTTCAATAAACGATCATTTATACAATAAGCAACACCATGAGCAATCAAAGCATCTCTTTCCATTTCACCAAGTCTTATACCTCCTCCCTTCTTTCTACCTTTTATTGGTTATTATGTAAGAACATCAACAGGTCCCATACTTCTAGCTTAAGATTTATCTGAAACCATATGTCTCAATCTTTAATAATATACAACTCCAAAATAAATATCAACTTTTAAAGGAGTTCCATAAATACCTGAATATAATGTCTCATTTCCATGATAATTATAACCATGTTTTATTAATTATTTACCAAAATAATCAACAACATTATCATTCTCATAATTCTAAAATGGATGTGTTTCAAACATCTCTCCTTATAATACATTAGCTTTAGCAGCCATACTTTCTATTAACATACCAATAGTCATTCTAGATGGAAAAGCATGAGGATTAATAATAATATCTGGTACCATACCTGATTCAGAGAATGGCATATCAATTTATGGCCACAATAAAGACATTACACCTTTCTATCCATGACGAGATGAAAATTTATCACCTATTATTGGATTACGATTAATTCTATATTTGATCATTACTGATACATCATTCTCAGATTTATTTACTACAGCTACTTATTCTATTCTAGAAGTCTCACTATCTTTTGAATAATGAACTTTCACTTATTATAATTGACTGTCATAAAGAGCCAACACAGCAGTACCTTTTGTAATCACCTAAGATTATTCAGGTAAACCATAAGGTAATAAACTTACTGGAATTTAAGATTTAATCTAATTGTATAATTATATAGGTATTTAACTTAGTAATTTGTATTTGACTTCTTTATCATCATTTAAAGAATATTCAGTTGATTTATAAATTATACCATGTCCAAATCCTCTCTCATAACTAGATTTACATAAGATCATAGCATCTTCCATATCATATCCAGTATAACTTATAACTGCTACTATTGCATTAGTTCCACTTGCATAATCAGCAAATTAGTAATCATCATAACCAAAACATCTTACTACTGGTTTTTGAGGAAATAGTATACGATACATTTTATTATCAAATCTATAAGGATAATTATGACATGGAGATCCCATAGTTTATTTAGCCATTTGACATTAATACATATTTCTAGGACTCTAATTATAATTTAAGAATGGAACATTAGAAGCTAGAATACTTAATATATATGC